AGGGCAGGAGGGGGCAGTTCAGGGGACGGGGGTGGGTCGGCCGGCCGGCGGCACTCGGGAGCAGCGCTTGCTCCCGTTCGTGCCCTCCCTGGGCTCCGGCTTCCTAAAGGTGCCCGGCAATTCGCCCTGGAAATGGCAAAAATAAGAGGGGAGGGGAGGGGAGGGCGAGCCGTTGAAGGTCTGAGGAGAGGGCGAAGCCCGCGCGCCTGCCTCCTGGGTGGCGGCCACGCTGCCGCTCGTTCGCCGCCCCTCTCCCTCCGGAGGGGACGCCGGACTGGAGGGCTAACTGAAATGGTGGTGAAATGGCCACGACTGTGATCCCTGGCTGATCAGATCGCAAGTGAGGGGTGAGGGGGGTAGAAGTAATAGCGTATTGTTAATGAGAGTATAGAGGTGGTGCCCCTTGTGTCCTGGGCAGCTCGCCGAGGTAGCGATGGTGTGCAGGCAGCGAGCCTTGGATTCCCCTGTGGTGAGGAGGGCAGGATCAAGATGGATGGTGGAGGTCGGCTGGAAGTAGGGGCAGTGAAGGGAAAGGGTGACATTGAGGCTAGGAGGAGAAAATAGGCCAGGGAATGAGCCTGGCGGCCGTTTTGGAGGGAAACGGCTGTCCATGTAATGAAGGGGAGGGAAAAGCCTTGAACAGTTGTGCCACAGAAGCTTTCAGGCTCCTATATGCTAAGGGGTATGAGCAAAGCGGTTGCTCGGAGCATCAGAAATAATGCGAGACTTTCCTCCGAAGATCAAGGAAAGAAAATCTTTGAATAGCCAGGGAAAGGAAAGACTTAAAAGTGTCACTTTGCAAAGCGCCCTTTTTTTTTCCAAAAACAAATGGCCAATCAAGATATATGGAAAGAGAGTACAAAACCTCATTATAGTGAAGCCCAATGTTAAGAAAATGTTTGATAAATGCTTTTTGGTTTTCCCCATGCTTTGACAAAATTTAGATTTCATTCCTTCGTGAATGGCTTATATTACGCTGTACAGCAGGGGCTATTGTATTAACCTGGAATTTCTTAGGTTGAAACCAATCACCTGTGAATAATCTAAACTCGAAAATACAGTTCAGGAAAAGACTAAACTGAAATAGTGTGGTCATATGTAATAAAATGGACCTCATGATTTCACATTTTAAGGTTTCAAAAGAGAAATAGAAAAAAAAAACATCAAGATTTCAGGTTATGTTGATTCTGAGCACTGCTTCCTAATGAGAATGTCTTCATTTTGTCGTCATTTAGACCATTCAGTAAGCCTGATTCTCTACTCTTACACCAATTTGACACCAATAAAACACAACTGATTGCTGAATTTACTAGATGGATCTGATGTAAGAGATTGCAATAGCCAGCCCATCACCTCAGGCTCCCTGATCATCACTGATTTCTCAAGTCTGAGTTTGCACTGCTGTGCAGCCCGCACTACTTGGATTTCTGAGACTACTATGATCAGATGACACCTAATGTTTATTGTTCTGTAAAAGTCTAGATTCTGTCTCTCACTTTCTAGTTAATAATAGCTATGATTTCCACTTGGTTTTCTGTTCAAGTTTCATTTGCATGTTGGAGAAGGCACATCTTGCAAAGACCATATACGTATGAAAGTTGTAATGATACTTCAGTTCAGTGCTACTAAGTCTCCCTTTGCAAAATATTTTGGCCTAAAGGGCTTTTTTCTATTTGCTAGAAAACACACTATCTGTTGTGCTGCCACACAGGGTATCATGCTCAGATGTACTCAACCATTCAGTGCGTTTGCATGTGTGTTTGCTTATGCGGGAGAACAAGTGGCTGGAAAAGGATACATTTGCAGAACAAAAAAAGAATATTCTTACCTGTGATACTGCTGTTGTGAGATACTATACTTTGGGTCACTTGTATAATACAGCAGTTCTTTTACTCAATGTGATGAGCCTGTAGATGGATCTGTATGAGACTAAAAACAAGTAGAGGGTCAAGGATATGTACAGCACTTAAGGGGAGACAACAGGGTCTGGAAGGAGTCTGCAAGTCACAGTGGGCTGGAATTCAGTACAGGCTGGTTTGCCTTTTTTCAGGCAGTTTTATTACTGCTTACACTAGATCGCATGCTGCTGGGGTGAGACTGATACCATTCCCCCAACAGGCTAACGTGAATCTCCTGTCACATATACAGCCACTTACACTGGACTTTTTCTAAAGTGGAACAGGGCCTTGTTTTGGTTTTGTGAGGCTTTTTGCAGTGAAAACTTAATTAATGTGGTAGCTACGTGCCTGTAAAATCAGACAAGCTGCAGCTAGGTTGCTAGGGGAGGTCAGCACTACGCTGCTGCTTTTGGTTGGCCTCACCTGGTTTACCTCACGATAAAAGTGCTGTGCCTTGTCTCCACGTTGGTTTTAAAACAAGATAGCTAATACACATTAGCTATGCCACAGCAAAACATACCTCATCCGTCAGTCATTAGCCTGAGTGTATTTGTCTAGGAAAGGTGACAGCAACAGCCTCATGCATCTATTTGAGAGGTTGCTCATGGCATATATGCATCCAAATCAGACCAGACGACATTCCTCTGCTAAATCCAAGCTTAGTCTACTGTAGAAAGAAAATGGTAGATAATATTTGTTTTTACAGAAGTCTTACAACCTTATTTTATATAAGATACTAAATGTGTAAGCCATCTGTGAAAAGTATGGAGTATATAAACACATATGAAATTGTTAGTCTACAGTATTTGAGAAGGGGTATGTTTTTCAAAGGATGAATCATTACGGTTCACCTGTTTCAAAAATTAGGCTAATACTTAATGTAAATTATTTTGCACCTTTCCAATTAGATGTGTTTGAAATGCAAAGTAGTGAAAATGTTCGGATGTTTCAAAGTGCATGAGGCTTAAATAATGACTTTGGACCAGCCTTTGCCAGTCTGTCCATTTTCCCTAGTAATTCCCAAACCCACTGGTCAAATCTGAATTAAAGGGGTAGCTATCTCCAGAACTACATGTTTTCATAAGTGTCGTGAAACTAGGGCTAGGTACTGGAGAGTAACCTTACCTGTACTCCCTGTACAGCAAAAGCTGCAGTGTGAGCTCACCCTTTATTAGTCACAGGACAATCCGCATGGATGAGAGTGGCTTTTTCCCCTCAGGGTGGAAAAAGCTTCAGTCAAAATTCACACTTCATTAGACACTGGATAATCTGAGCATGAGGCTCAAATCCATGGGCCTCATTAGTTCCCTTTCATTATTAAATTATTAACATTTTCCCTGACAAAGCAGAACAAAGCAGCTGCCTTTGGACAGATATAGAAGAGTACAATTTATACTGCAGCTTATGCAGGACATTCAGATATTACATTTCTTAATAGCCTCAGTACTTGCATTTGAACGTTCCGTACATTTCCACCATCAGAGTAGCTAACTCAGGTTTCTGGGCTGATGCAGAAACTGCTGCAGATGTCCAAAGGAATAACATACAGTCTCTTTTCTGAGGTCAGAGCTCAACTAGAGTTACGATTTGCAAGGGATCCCAAGGACAACAAGAAGAGCTTCTACTACAACTCCAAGAGTAAAAGACTGAAAACAGAAAATGTGGGCTTGTTCCCGAATGGGGCAAATGACAAAGTAACAATGGAAACGGATAAGGCTGTGGTACTCAGAGCCAGCCATCTTTGCCTCAGACCTACCATCAGGGTCTCCCAGCTCTCTGTGCTTAGGATTCAAGGAGGAGGACTACCAGCAATGGGTGAGGATCAAGTCAGGGATTGCGTGGGAGAACTCAACCGATAAACATGCATGGGATCAACTGAGCTGCATCCAAGGGTGCTGAGGGAGCTGGCTGGTGTCACTGCAAGGCTGCGCTTTTATCTTTGAAAGGTCACGGAGACTGGGAGAGGTCCCCAAAGACTGGAGAAACACAACTGTAGTGCCCATCTTGAAAAAAAAGCCCGAAGGGAAACTGTTGGCTGATCAGCCTCACTCCAGTCCATGTGGAAATGCATGTCCTCTTGGAACACATTTCCGGGCACAGGAAGGAGGAGGTGATCAGGAACAGCCAGCATGCATTTACCAAGGGTGAATCATGCCTCACCAACGTGATTGCCTTCTGTAATAAAATGGCTGGATTTGTATGAAGGAAGAGCAGTAGATATCATTTACCCTGACTTTTGCAAGGCTTTGGACACCATCTTCCACAATCTTGTATCCAAATTAGGACATTATGGTCTGGACAGATGGACAACCACATGGGTAAAAAACTGTTTGGGTGATAGGGCTCAGAGGACAGGGGTTAATGGGCTGTACTCTATCTGGAGGCCAGTAAGAAGTGGAGTACTGTAGGGGTCTGTCCTGGGACCTGGCCTGTTTAACGTCTTTATCAATGCCTAGAGGAGATGACAGGGTGCCCTCTCATCAGGTTTGCGGATGACAGCAAATTGGTGGGACTAGTCAATATGGTTAAGGGTAAAGCTGCCATTTGGAGGCACTCAGGCTGGAGGAATGGGATGACAAGAACTTCATGAAATTCAACCAGGACAAATGGTA